GGAATTCGCTGTCGAGTCAAGCGATCGCACGTCCTGGTGCTGACAGAAACCATCAGGTCGGTCATCAGACTCAGACTGCACGTCAAGTCGCGGATCTCATGCAAGCGAGAGACCTGCTCTGGAACCGCATAGGCGCCGGGAGGGCGCTGTGATATACTGCACGCGCCCGGCATCAACGACTCGGCGCATCAGACGCTCGGTGCCGCATGACGGGGGTCTCAGACAGAAGGGCCCGCTGCTTCTCAAGGAAGCCCGCGCGCAACAGAGTCCACACACTGACTGGCAGGTGGAAACGTCGCAAGCGCTTTGAAATTGAGGCAGATTCGCGCGCAGCAGGCATGTCACCACGCTTCTCACCCGGCTTTAGGAACGCCCGAAAGATTTTAGCGTGGGCAGATGGCTTCCATTAATTCGCGAGTGCGCGCCACTTGCTCGCAAAAAAGCTTACAGTGCTTCCCGCGCCAGCGTCAAGGGTTCAAGAGAAGGTCGCTGCTTGGTGAGCGCCTTACTAGACGATCCTCATGACAAATTTTAGCTCCCCAGAGTCGCACATGCTGCTTGTTTACGTCCCTCGAGCATAGAAATGCGTGCGACTACTATGGAATGCCCGCAAAGACGTGCTTAGCAGAGTGGGGTGCATGCATACTCGGGACGCTACTAGTGCTCCTACTCACAGCCACACCATCGTCGAGATCGTTGGCGGCAGGTCTTGCCAGTGATGGTTTGCTACGGTAAGGTGCGTCTAGAGCCCAGGCGGCAAGGCTATGCCGACCATCGACGCGCGATGCTAGGGTTCTGGCCATGATTCCGTATTGCAGCGGGAAGTGGTGTGCGGTGCAAATCACCGAGACTGCTCTCAGGTGGGGCATGGGCATCGGAGCTACTTCGGACTAGACCTCCTCGTTGCCGAATCCTCGGTGATTCGTACTCCGGTGAGGAGAGCTCTCAGCATAGATGGGCTGTTTTGAATTCGTTCATTTCTCTGTTCTCCATAAACGTAGGGCGGTGTCTTGCGTGAAGTAAGCACCTTTACGCCCGTGCGCTTCTCGCTCCGATTCGGAAGAAACGGACGAATCAGAGGAGCTCCCTGAGTTGCTCGTGCCTGACCTCTCAGACGAACCGCGCTCCAGGGACTCCGGCTTAGTCCAGTGTCTTGCACCTGTGGCTGTCACAATCAGGGGAAGCAAGGGGTGCGCGGAGACGGTAGCAACAGCATCTGATGGTTTTGTAATGGCGTGCATCAGCTAGGCTCGTCCTCGTCGTGGGCAACCTGAAATCCTCACCTGAACCAGTGCTCCAGCTCGCACTCTCCTGCCACGTGTATGAAAGGATTTTGGCAGAGTCACCAAAGCCTTCTGCCGCATCGCCTTCAACAAGCTCGGTGTCGTGTCCCGGCTCCTTGGAGACCCTCCACGCGGAGACCCGACCATTGAGATCACCCGCCAGTAGCCAATGACCGCTCCAATCTACGTCGAAGAAGAGCCGCTGCATACTTTGCACTTCCGAGGATGAACCAGCAAGTCTGCGCGAGAACCCACCCAGGCAAGCAGCTCTGGGCGCGGTGGAGCTGAAATTAGGCCTGGAGCCCGTGTAGCGGAGGTCGTACGCTTGAATGCGATCTGTGCATCGGGAGCTGATGAAGAGAATGTAAGGAGTAGTGGGGTGAAATTGTAGCTGTAGAGTGGCAAGGCGGAGATTCGATATTCCGAAGAGTAAGCCACAATTTCGGCCGTGCTTAAGGTGCCGAAAGCCCGCTTCAGCAGTGCGCACCTGGGAGATGCCTCTGCCATCTGGCTCCCTCCAGCCCGCAAAGAGGCACTCCGAGGCCTCGGTGAGAGCACCGGGATGATATAGCCCAAAGGTGCCAGCAAAGGTGCCCACGGCTACAACTTGTTGGCCTTGACCGTCTGTCGTCCAATTCCAACCAGTGGCGACGCAGCTCACAAGCCCTCTTTGACCCGGCTCTTGATGTTTGCGAAGGCGCCGTCCAGGAGTAAGGGGCATGGTGATAGGTGCCTGTCCCGATGCGGAGACATCAAACACCGATAGACTGCAAGCATGACCTGCGTAAAGTCTTTTGGATTGGCAGCGAGAATAGAATGAGCTCTTCTGGGCCAGCACAATTCTAAGGTTGCAAAGACTCACTGCGTGCCATCCAGACTAAAGGCCAGACTTTGAGCGCCCACGAAGCGCTCGACGTGGTCCTGGATTGGGTATGCGGCTCGAGTCTGAAGAAAGAGCGTCGCCGCAGAGAAGATGCAACCATTAGGCCAAGTGAACCCATCCTAATTAGTTCTTTCCCCCACACCCGACTAGCAGACTCACGCGGCCGTTGTAAGCGTCAACGAGTCTGATCGGCACATCTCTGGCGCTGAATGCAAAGCACCAGGTAGAGGGATGGTCGAAGCTAGCGAAGGGGTACCACACGACGTCGAGCAATGGTGAAGGCGCAGGCACTGTCAGCACGAGAGTCAGACAGTGCTCGTCGTCGTTCGTGTCAAGCTTATACAGCTGAATCTCGTGGTTATCACATTGAGCCAGAACGTGAGTACCATCAGGAGCCCTGAGTATCAATGGACGACATATAAACGGGCTTGAGCGTGGGTTCGAAGCATTTGAATGGCGGTTCAGGGCAGAGCCTGTGGCCGGTACACGTTACATACCATCTCGTTTGCCGCCTGATGGCAGGCGCGTTCCATACGTTTTGTCCAAGTGTCTCCATCCCCAGTCTTGGAACGTTGTTGCTTTTGATTTCCGCGCACAGAACAGGGTCTTTGACATTCATAAAGATCCGCGAAGGCGGAATGAAGGTCTCTGGATAGGTTTCGATGTCATCCTCCGGTTGCTCGTCCATGTTGCCGTTTCCTGCTTCGCGTTCACTCCATGCTAAACGCGCCGGTCTTTCCTTGAGATTCCACTTCCTTGGGCTTGCTCCATGGGTCTTCGAGCAAGACTTGGCTTTGCGTCGTTGACAGTCCTTCAAAAGGCGCAGAGAATTGAAGCTGGCCTGCTCTGCTGCCACGAGTGGAATGAGTCAGAACGAGATGGCATGGCACTCGATCTGGATGGTGACTCTTGACTGCAGCAGAGAGTCGTGAGCCATTCACGTGATCGGGATCGGCTTTGCGCGCCCTTCGCCGCTTTCCACTCAGCGTGGCTGCCAAATTCAACAGCACATGCACTCACGAACTCACGACGCGCGTGCACACCAGCGCGCGTACATGCGTCCGCTCTTTCCTCTGAGCGTGCACGCTCCTCCGCGCATTTGCGTGTTGGTCTCACTCACCACCAGCACCCGGTGACTCTTGACATGAAGGCATTCTGCGGCCAGTTGAGCAACGTACTCACCACGGCTGCGGAAAACCTCAAAGAAACGTCTCAGCAGCCGCCCGTGAGCTGCCGAACGGTTGTTCCAGCTCGAGATCCGAAAGACGTTGACGACAAGCTCCACTCAGCGCTCTCAACATGCCGGTCCCCGAAAAGATCGCTGGTGACTGGGCGCCTGCCGCCTATCGGACAGTCGCGGAGGAGCTCACGTCCACCATCGATCTTGGCGGCTCAGCATCAGAGATCATCGACTCGCTCGTGCACATTCACTACTCTGTATACGCGGCCGCCGAGAGGCTGAAGAAGCGTCAGGGTAGGAGGCTTTGGATGGGACCAAGGAGCTTCTTGGACTTCATTCATCACTGTGAGTGCAATCACCGCATGCCTTGGGCAGAATCCGTATCGCGATATGTAGCTGAGCATTCCTGATGCTCGTTGTCACACCCCTCAGATGTCTCCCTCACGAATGAGAAGCGTTCTGCGCTCGAAGAAGAGCAAAGACACCTCAATGTTGGTCTTGACAAGCTGAAAGAAACTGTGAGTGAAGACTACGATGAGGCCTGCGTCACATTCGTGAGCTCATGAGATACTGTCCTTGGTGCTCGCTCGCAGGTGTTGGCTGTGGAGGAGCTGAGAAAGTCGCTCGCTGTCAAGGACACGCAGCTGAAGGCAAAGAATAAGGAGGCTAATGACAAGCTACAGCGAATGGTAGCAGATCAGAAGCAAGCTGAGGACAGGAAGGTAGAGTCGGAGCGAATGCAAAAGGAGCTCGTCCGACAGCAGGAGGGCATTGTAGTGCGGCGCGAAGAAGTCGAAGCCGAGCTGGCCAATGCCGAACCCGCAGTGCAAGACGCAAAGGCCGCTGTCAGCAACATCAAGAAACAGCACCTGACAGAAGTCCGTTCGATGGGAAATCCGCCTGCACCGGTCAAGAATGCGATGGAGAGCGTCTGCATCGCTTTGGGTCACAAAGTAGACAGCTGGAAGACTGTGCAAGGTATCATTCGCCGAGACGACTTCATCGCGTCCATCGTCAACTTCGACACGGAGAGGCAGATGAACAAAGCTGTGCGCGACAAGATGCGTCGCGACTATCTCTCTAAGCCAGACTACAATTTCGAGCAGATCAACCGCGCTTCCAAGGCTTGCGGCCCACTGGCGAAGTGGGTCATTGCGCAGGTGGAGTACTCGGACATCTTGGACAAGGTCGGTCCGCTCAGAGAGGAAGTCAATGCGCTCAGTGAAGAGGCAGAAAGATCACAAGCAGCAGCCGCAGCGACATTGGACATTATTGCCCAAACGGAACGGGACATCGCGCGCTACAAAGAGGAGTACGCCGCATTGATCAGCGAGGTGCAGGCCATCAAGAGCGAGATGGAAAGAGTGCAGACGCGTGTCAACAGGAGTATTCAATTACTCGACAGTCTCGGATCCGAAAAGCAGAGGTGGGACAGCGCAAGCAAGACCTTTGACACCCAAATGAGCACGATCGTTGGCGATGCTCTTCTCTGTGCTGCATTCTTGACGTATGCTGGATACTTTGACCAACAATACCGCGAAGGTCTGTGGACAGGCTGGGTGGATCACCTGACTGGAGCAGAAGTCAAATTCAAGTCGGGATTGAGCTTCACGGAATACCTATCTACAGCTGATGAGCGCTTGGATTGGCAATCGAAAGGGCTACCATCCGACGCACTTGCTACTGAAAACGCCATTATGCTACAACGCTTCAGGCGCTACCCACTTCTTCTGGATCCCTCTGGGCAGGCGACCGCCTTCTTGCAAAAATGGTACCAGGATCGAAAGCTCACAGTCTCGTCATTCCTGGACGAGGCATTCGTCAAGAACCTCGAATCTGCGCTGCGTTTCGGCCAGCCTATGCTCGTCCAAGACGTCGAGAATTTGGACCCCATCGTCAATCCAGTCCTGAACGGCGAGCTCAGACGCACTGGTGGCAGAGTTTTGATCCGGGTCGGTACCCAAGAAATCGACTTTAGCCCCTCTTTCACGATGTTCTTGTCTACGCGCGATCCATCAGTGGAGTTCACGCCGGATGTTTGCTCGCGGGTCACCTTTGTCAACTTCACAATGACTCGCGAGTCCCTCCAAAGTCAAAGTCAAGATCAAGTGCTCAAGGCCGAACGACCCGATACGGACAAGAAGCGCACGGACCTGATGAAGCTGCAAGGAGAATTCCAGCTTCGCCTGCGCCATTTGGAGAAGAGCCTTCTAAACGCGCTCAATGCTAGTGAAGGCAACATTCTAGATGATGACAAGGTAATCGATACCCTCGAAACTTTGAAGAAAGAGGCTCGCGAGGTCACCACAAAGGTAGAAGAAACGGAAGCTATCATGCAAGATGTAGACGCCGTCACTCGGCAGTACGAACCACTTGCCAAGGCATGCTCTTCTCTTTTCTTTGTGCTCGACCAGCTCAACCTCGTCAATCACTTTTACCAGTTCTCACTCCGATTCTTCTTGGATATCTTTGACTTTGTGCTGCGCCGCAACCCTCATCTTCAGGGTGTCTCAGAACCCTCGGAGAGGCTTCGGATTCTAACCCGCGACCTCTTCTTGGTGGTGTACAAGCGCACTAGTCGAGCTCTCGCACATCGAGACCACGTCATGCTTGGAGCTCTCTTGGCACAAATCTGGAGTCGCGAAGGGTCGGAGCCTGAGGCGCTTGACTCTGAGGAGTACGACTTCCTTCTCGAGGGCGGAGATGTAGTTGGTCAACCTCCTGCCTCGACAGGAGGCATCTTGGATCAAATCTTCTCTCCAGAGCAACGCCAGCGAGTCGAAGCTTACAAGCGGCTACCTGTATTTCGCGGCTTGACAAATCACGCGGAGCAGCATTCGGACGAGTGGCGAGAATTCCTAGCGTCTTCAACTCCAGAGACCGCTGTGCCACGCTTCTGGCCAGAGACAACAGGTGCGTAAGCTGTTGAGTGGTATGATTCCGCAAAGGCGAATGCATCGTTGACGCGAGTCTATCACAGATCTCGCGGACCTCGTGAGGCGCATCTTGGTTGTCAAATGTCTGCGGTCGGACAGAATCGTGCAAGCGATGACGACACTTGTCAACACAGTGTTCGGTGCAGACATACTTGCCGACACGGCTTATGATCTGAAGAGCATCGTATCCGATGAAGTAGGTGCTCAAACTCCGATCGCGCTGTGCTCTGTGCCTGGCTTCGACGCAAGCTACCGAGTTGATCAGCTGGTGCGATCAACGTGTGTGAAGTGCATCAGCGTTGCTATGGGATCCGCCGAAGGTTTCGCACAAGCTGATCAAGCCATCTCAAACGGTGTGCGGACCGGCCAGTGGGTTCTTCTGAAGAATGTGCACTTGGCGCCAGAATGGCTCTCTCAGCTTGAGAAGAAGCTTTCGACCACCACACCCAATCGCAACTTCCGACTATTCCTTACTTGCGAGACTGTACCATCAATCCCTGTCAACTTCTTGCGAGCCTCGCGGATTCTCATGAACGAGCCGCCTCCCGGTATCAAGGCGAGCATGCTGGACAGTCTTCGAGGCATCGCTCCAAGCCGTCTGCAAAAGGGACCTGCAGAATCGATGCGGCTGTTCTTCTTGCTATCCTTCCTGCATGCCACTCTGACCGAGCGTCTGCGTTACACGCCTCTCGGTTGGTCGAAGACGTTCGAGTTCAATGACTCTGATGCTGAGACAGCACTGGACACCATAGATGCATGGGTTGGAAGGGTTGCCAAAGGTCGCGCCAACATTGATCCAGCAAGCGTTCCTTGGGACGCACTGCGGTCACTGATCAAGACCACCGTGTATGGCGGCAAGATCGACAACGAAACAGATCAGCTGCTTCTCGACACTTTTGTCAATGCTATTTTCACCCCTGCAGCGTACGAGTCCGCCTTTCCTCTAGTCGACAACGAGCAAATGCCCCTCATTGCTCCAGAGGGAACGCAAATGGACCAGTTCATTGCGTGGGTGCAAAAGTTGCCCGAACAGCAGCCTCCCCAGTGGCTCTCGCTTCCGCCAACTGCAGAGCGAGTCATCGCGACAGCGCAAGGTGCTGCCCTGCTCAACAAGCTCGTGCGTATGCGTGAGCTCGCAGACGATGACGACGTGGCCACAACTGCGGCGACTACTGCGCCTCATGAGGGCGCGGCGTCCTCCAGCGCTCACGCCCAGCCAGTATGGATGAAGACTTTACAACAAAACGCCATCGAATGGCTGAAAGTTTTGCCTGGGGATATCTCGAAGCTGACGGGCACCTCATCGAGCATCGCGGACCCTCTGTTCCGGTGAGGCTGCGCCAGATAGATAGTAGACGACTCTTTTGCGTCCGACGCTAATCTCCTTGATCTGCCCTCGCTCCTGACACCAGCTTTTGGGCCCGCGAGCACCGGACTGGTGCGTCGTTGCTCAAGACTGTACGTTCAGATCTCGAGGAAGTCGTGTCCGTTTGTGCCGGAGAGACGCGGCAGAACAATCACAACCGAAATTTGCTGAACGACTTGCCCAAAGGTGCGTCACGTCAACCAGCGCGTCGATTTGCTCTCCTAACACACTCACACTGATCGCGGTGATTTTTCTCAGGTGTGATACCAGCATCGTGGAAGCAGTACGCGACACCTAAAGCAATGTCTTTGGGTCTTTGGATCGCCGACCTCACACAGCGTCTTGCTCAGCTGGAAAGCGTCACCAAAGAGAATCGGTACGACCGCTTTGCCGTCGTACTGGGTCTACTCTTCTCGCCGGGCGCGTACTTGACCGCTACGAGACAAGCTGTCGCTCATACGACACGCGTCAGTCTGGAAAACCTCAAGCTTGATCTGCGCGTCAATGATGGGGGTCGCACAGAGAATGGCTTCGCGATTGAAGGTACGCAAATGACCACGCTCACGCCCTTTTGTTTCTGATACTGAAATCACGCTTCATGGGCGCGTCCAATCAGGTCTCAAGCTGGAAGGAGCAGACTGGCTAGAAACCTTTCTCGACGTCAACGATGGGCGCACAGTCAGCTTGTCGCGCAGCAGCATTCTCTGGCTCGACGGAGCTGCTGACGGTGCGAACCCAACGAATACGCCGTCATCTGCGACTGCGCGGCACGTTCCAATCACCGTCTACCTCAATGGCGACCGCGACAACACGTTGTTTCATGTCAAGCTACCAGCAGCTCAAGGCTTGCCCGTGGCCACGGTCGCTCAAAGGGCTGTCGCAGTCCGAGCAGCTTGATCAAGCAGCATCTTTCGCTTGTGAAAGCCGATGTGATTGCAAGCAGAGCAGACCTGTAGCGTCTGCGGTCGAATGTGTTGGCGTTGTAATTGTACAGATTGCGTAGAAACATGATGGTGTGCGGGTATGAACCTGACGCATACTTCTGATGGGTCAGTTCGTGACTCGTGAATGGCAAGAATTTACTTACTCCTTGCTGGGAGCAAGCGGAGAGCGCCTCAAAATCGAGGTTCGAGGCACTTCGACGGTGGGAGTTGATCTTGCGGTCTGGGAAAAAGGGCGTGCGGACGAGGCAGGGGGTTTGTGCACGATTTCGTCATCGCTTTGCTCAGTGTCGACTGTAAGTTCGTCTTCATCCTCCGACTCATCCTCATCTTGCACGACCATTTTGCGTCGAGCATGGACGCTTTTGGACGTTCCTGCAAAGCTCGCTGGCACGGACCTGGTCGAACGCCGAATTGGCTCGGAAGTCTTGGAAGACGAAGAGGAATCGGATTGCTCCTCCGATTCTTGCGCCGCCGAAGGGGAATCGAAGCGATCGATGCGCAGCCTGGTGCGCGAAGAGGGTCCCGTCTTTCGCTGCAACTCTGTGTTCGCCTCCGAAAGAGCGCTGCTCGACGATGGCGATCCACGCCTCTTTGGTCCAGCGACGATCCTACGCAGAGAAACATGCGCGATCCTGCCATCTTGAGCTGACCTGCTCACACTCGGGCCCACCGACAATGCGCGAGGTGGTAGTTGTACAGGCGGCCTGGCTGGAGTAGGTACAGCCGACTCGTCTTCATTTTCAAGAGTGATTTTCTGCCTTTTGCGTATCCTTGGCGGCTCATCTTCGGAATCCCGGAAAGACGAGAGGCTGGTGCTAGCAGTCGTAGAATGGGAATCTGTGCGTTCAAGTCCACCGGCGCCCTCCATATTCTCGGAGCATGCCTGAGCCCTGCTCTCTGCGCGGCTCTTCAAGACCATCAATTCCGCTTCCAGGGCCGCGAGCCTGCTTGGCGCACTCGACATTGAAGCCTGGCTGATCGCTGCGTGCCTCTTTCCATCGTCTTGTACGCGACGTGCGCTCGCTTCAATCTTAGCGTCGAGCGCCGCCTGCGCCGTCTGGAGTTTCGCCTCGTACGATGTCATGCGTTCTTCGAGTGCCTGCTCTCGCACTGCCACCTTCTCCTCGCGCTGTGCCAGAGCTGTTTCAGCGACTACGAGCTCCTCGTTCTTCTTCTCCACCATGGCTTGCCACTGTCTTTCCTTCTCCTCCAGCTTTGCGCGAGCCGCCTCGTCTCGAGCTTGCCCATCTTGCACAAGCTTTTGCAGCGCCGTCGCAATTGAACGCAAGTTCGCTTCCGCTGGGCCCGAAGACCCGCTCTGTCCTCGATCTACAAGATTGCCAAGCTTTGCATCCATCTGCACGTGCTGACGTTCCAAAGCCGTGATGCGTTGCTGGAAATGGACTACAGAGGCCGCAGGCAGAAGTTGGGGAAGCTGCTTCTCCACCTTATCTAAGCGCTCTCGAAAGCCGCTGTCCATCTTTCGAATGTCCACTGACAGACTATCGCGCACCGATTCAAGGGTCTTGCGTTGCGCCTCTAGACGCATCTCGACATTTTCGCCTCTCGCGTGATTGTTCGAGGTGGACGCCTGCTGCACACCGTGCGAGGAGCCGCTCGAGGACTGGGCTTTCAAAGAATTCGTAACGTGCTCTCGTAGGCTGTGTAGCGCCGAACTCTGCTGCTCCTGTATAGTCCCGAGACGATGGATTTGGTGAGCGTGATTTTGCAGTCCATATCTATGTTCCCCGCCCTCCACATCCAGCTGGTTCACCGCTCTTTGCAGGCCTACCAGCCTCCCAATCCCGGAGGTAGCCCGAATCAACCTTTCACGCGTCTCTTCGTCAGCATTGCTCCGTATTCTGGTCAGGGCTGTCCTGCTGGCTGCAGCGGCTGTCTCCGCAGTGAATTGCGCAGTATAGCGTGAAGTCCACCGTGCAGGCGCGGCCGGGGGACTGGCCAAGGATGGGTTCGCACTCTCACGTGCAGCTTTGGTGCTTGACGCCGGTGGCGCTGGAGTCGCATTGGGCTGAATTGTAGCTGTAAATCGCGGGAATTGGACCGGCGAGACAGCTTGAACAGTCCGAGGTTGAGGTTGCGATGCGGCCTGAGATTGGTTTGCAGCCTGACTCTGGGTGCCGCTGGGCGGAGCAAAGGAGCCCTGCGGAGGACGCTGCTGCGCCCGTTGCTGTTCCTGCAGCTTTTGTTGATGCTGCTGATGCTGCTGTTGCTGGTATCTCTGTTGACTCGCCAGTTGTTGTTGGTGCTGCAGGAGTTGCTGATGCTGCTGCTGCTGCTGCTGCTGCTG